ACCCGGAGCCTCAGGCATGCTAGGCAAGCCCTCTACCATTGAGCTAGATCCCCAGCCCTTTTTTAAGAGTTTTGTTTTATTTTTGAGACAGTCTTGCTAAATTACCCACGCTGGCCTCAAACTTGTGATCCTTCTCTATCAGCCTCCTGAGTAGCTGGAGCTACAGGTGTGCACCACCACACCCAGCAAGAGGTACATATTTTTATGAAACAATAAGTTGTCGGCCTTTGGTCTATCAAGGTAGATGGTATTTAGCAGAACCCCAAGCAAACTCCTACTTTCATTTAGTGTTTTTGAGACAGGGTCTCACTATGTAGTTCGGGCTGGACTTGAACTCACTATTGTAGCCCAGGCTGGCCTTGAACTCACAGTGATCCTCCTGCCTCAGCCTCCCAAGTGCTGGGATTACTGGCATATGGCACCACGCCTGTGTTTTTGAGTTTAACACTGAAACATTGCTCATGGACTTACTTTTCTGTATTCCTTCTTTAGAGACAGTGTGGAAGCCTCACCTGTTCCTCCAGAAGCCTGGCCATCCCACCTGGTGCTGGTGATGGGTGAGGCGTCCTGTGAGGCCCAAGTCAGCCCCGAGGCTGCCTCAGGGCTGTCCCTGCTGGAGGTGCTGATGGTCTCCGTGGTGCTGGAGGACGCCAGGGAGCAGCTGTCCATCCTGGGCCACATCATGCCGTGGCCGCTGGAGAGGAGGCAGAGCACTGTGCTGGTGAGTGATGGGTGAGGAGTGTGCACCTCAGCGCTTTGCTGTTTCCCACCACCCCTCTCCGTGTACACACACACACACACACACGCAAACACACACACACACACACATACACACACACGCTGTGGGAAAATGGCAGGGAAAGACTGTGAGAACGGTCTCCACCATGTTCTTAATTGATGGAGGGAAACGGATAGCTCAGTGCGCCTGAGATGCAAACAGCCCTTTCCAGGACAGTGGTGTCACTTAGAAAGGACTCCAGTCGCATCTGTATGAGACAGTACAGTTGGCCCTCCACACACACAGGTCCTGCACCTATCCATGCAACCAGCCTCAGAGGGAAAATATTCAGGAAAGAATTGTGTCTGGTGCACTCCTGTGCTCCCATCACAGGGGAGGCTGAGGCAGGAGGATGCCACATGCTCGAGGCCACCCTGGGCTCCATAGTGAGTTCAAGACCAGCCTGAACTACATAGCGAGACTGTCTCAAAAAAACCAAACAACAAAAGAAGAAAAAAACGTGTTCAGATGTATTTCCTTGTCATTGTTTCTTATTACAGTGTGACAACTATGCGACATTTGTACTCTCTGCTAAGTAACCTAGGGAGGAGGAGCCTATGTGGGAGAGTGCTCAAGGGCCGCATGCACATAGGGCGCCACTTTACACAGGAGGCTCGGTGTCCACAGGGCCCTTGAGCTGATCCCTTAGCGCTGCAGGACCATTGTGTGCAGAGAGGAAGCCTCGGTCCACCGAAAGCCCAGACCCAGTTCCTGAGTCCTCCTAGCCCAGGTTCCTCAGCTGCTAGGAGATAACTGACCACCAGGGGGAGAACTTCAGCTGCGCGGTCCGCATTGCCGTCCTTGCTGAATCTGGGCACTAAGGCGTTATCACGAATCTTAACTTAGTAGAAGTCTTTTTTATTTTTTTTTATTTTTTTTTTATTTATTTTTGGGACCGGGGATCCAACTCGGGATCTTGCGCTTGCGAGACAGGCGCCGGAACCACTGAGCTAAATCCCCAAAGTCTTTTTTATTTTTGAGGGGGGACCAAAATTTTTATATATTTTCAAACTTCTATAACTTTCCGTTTGGTACTGGGGTTAAACTCAAGGCCTTTGCCCTGAGCTACATTACATGCCCAGCCCCTTTTAAGAAAAAGTTTACTGGGCCGGGGTTTTAGCTCAGTGGTTTCACTGCCTGCTATGCAAGCGCAAAGATCTGAGTTCGATTCCAGATACCAAAAAAAAAAAAAAGTTTACATTTTCAGATGGGGTCTCATTGAGTCACTAAGTTACCCACACTGGGTTTGAACTCGTGATCCTCCCACCTGGGCAAGGTGCCACACACCTATGATCCCAGCACTCGGGGAGGCTGAGCAGGAGGATTGCAAGTTTGATCCCAGCCTAGGTAACCTAGTGATTTCGTGAGACCTTGTCTCCAAATAGAAAATAAAAAACGAAGGCTGAGGATTTAGCTCAGTGACACCATGCAGCTGCCTCACAAGTGCAAGGTCGTGAGTTCGGTCCTTGGTACCAAAAACTTTAATAAAAAACAGACTGGGACTGTTGCTCAGCACAAAGGCCCTGGGTCAAGTTTCTAGTACTGCTCCCCACCCAAAAACATTTGAAATGAGTCAAGATCTCCAAGACACTCTTTCTTCCCTCCCAAATCCCATATTTTACAATAAATTGCAGTATGGTGAGTGCCCTCTAACATATATTTCACAAGGAACTTGTGTGTATGTGTGTGTGTGTGTGTGTGTGTGCGCGTGCTGAGGATTGAACCTAGGGTCTTGCACATATTAAAGACCCATTTTACCCAGCCACAGTGGCACACACCTGTCTCCAGTTACCCAAGAGGCTGAGGTAGGCGGATTGCCAATTGGAGGCCAGCCTGGGCAACTTACCAAGGCACTGTCTCAAAATAAAAACAAACAAAAAAAATTTTTGTTGTTCAGGCTGGCCTTGAACTCATAGCAATCCTCCTGCCACAGGCTCCTGAGTGTTGAGATTACAGGTGTGTGCCACCACACCTGGCTCAAAATAAAAACATTTTTTAAAGTGCTGGGATGTAGGTTGGTGACAGAGAGTTACTGAGTTTGATCACCAGTACAGCAAAAATAAAAAAAGAAGAAGATACTTCTACACGTAGCCACGCCCTCAGCCCCAAACTTTCCGTTTGGGGAACAACAGAGGGAATGTTGTGAAAACATACAAAAGGACGGGACATGTGGCTTTCTGTGGTTAAAAAAAAAAGGACACATTTTCTTGAACTACAGCTTACTAGTAGGATAAAGCAAGTTTGGAACATGTAGACGAGACCCTCTTTCTTGGAGTACCATGTCTTCACTTTACAACATCTTTCTTACCATGATTTGCTTTTAGAGAAACAACAGCCCAGACAAACCACCAGCACTCTTGACTGGAAGGAAGATATCCACTCCGTTACCACTGAAAGGACCAGTGTCACCTAGAGTCAGACCGGGAGGCCAGTTGGCTGCTAAGCAGAACAACATTCGTGATCTTGCCTTTAAAACACCTGCGGCGCGGGCCATTATGACGGCAGAGACGCTGAAGAAAATGCAGAGCGATAGGTGAAGGCAGAGAACATGTTCCAGGACGTAGAGCCCGGGTGTGGTGCCACACGCCTGGAATCCCAGCACTTGGGAGGCTGAGGCAGGAGGATCACGATGAGTTCAAGGCCAGGCTGGGCTACGTAGTGAGCTCAAGGCCAGCCTGAACTATGAACTATGTATCCAGACATTCTTTTTTGTTTTTTGAGACAAGGTCTCGATGTGCAGTCTGGGCTGGTCTTAAACTCAAACTCGAAGCAGTCCCTATGGCTTCAGCCTAGGACTACAGGGTGCACTACCATGCCTGGCTGAGACCTTATTTCCAAAAAATAAATAAAAATAAAATAAATAAAACTTAGAACAGGGCTGCAGGTATTAGTCAGTGGTGGAGCTCATGCTTAGCATGCACAAGGCTCTGAGTATGTTTATTTTTTATCGTGAGAAAGGGTCTCAGGCAGTCACTAATTTGCCAAGACTAGTGTGATTGTCCTGCCTCAGCCTCCCAGAATGCCAGGATTACAGGTGTGCGGTACCACACCTGGCTTGATCCTGAGGATTTCTTAAAGGCAGACTCAGTTTCTATTGCTTATTACTTAGTGTTTTTGTTGTCATCAAATTGCTTGCTAACAAGCCAGTTGAGTTTAAAAGAGGATGTAACTTTTATGACATTTTGGCAAATAAGAGTTTATTTGAATTACCTGAAGTCACTAGCTATATTCAGCCCAAATTCTGGTTTTTTGTTTGTTTGTTTTTGGTTTTTTGAGACAGGGTCTCTCTATGCAGTTTAGGCTGTCCTTGAACTCATTGTGTAGTCCAGGCTGACCTTGAACTCATGGCGATCTCCCTGCCTCAGCCTCCAGAATGCAGGGATTACATGCATGCACCACCATGCCTGGCTTGTTGATCTCTTTTTGGTATTAACAATGAGCTATATCCCCATCCCCTAGAAGGCTGTTTTTGAGTTTTCTTAGAACACAACATGGCCCATTTGTTCACACACTATCTAAATTTTTTCTTTTCTTTTTTTTGGTACCAGGGATCTTCAGGACCTTGTGCTTGTGAGGCAGGCAGCGGAACCACTGAGCTAAATCCCTGACCCTTTTTCTTTTTGAGACAGGGTCTCATTGTGTAGTCCAAGCCGGCCTAGATCTCACAGTGATCCTCTTGCCTCAGCCTCCCAAGTGCTGGTATTACACTGTCTCTAATTTAAAGGCTGCTTTCATGCTATCACCGCAGAGCTGAGTTGCTCTAAAGGGCAATATGTAGCCAGGTGTTGCACACCCCGGTAATCCCAGCACTGGGAGGCTGAAGCAGGAGAACCGCTTTAAGTTCAAGGCCAGCCTGGCCCACATACCAAGATCCTGTCTCAAAACAACAACCAAAATAATCCAAAAAGAGGACATGTGACCTACAAAGCTAAGAATATTTATTTTTTGTCCTTTTGTAGAAAAAGTTTGCCACAGCCCTTAAAAAAATTTTTTTTTGAGACAAGTTCCTAGGTTTGAGTGGCCTTGAACCTTTGATCCTCCTGCCTCAGCCTCCAAAGTAGCTGGGTTTATAGGTGAGTGCCACCATGCCCAGCTTATAGAGTCTTCTTAGGCCAAACAATTCCTGCATTAATTCCGTCTTAGCTGAGATGGTCGTTCTAGGTTTTAACTTGTGTCACTTCTGTAGCCCCTGAGAAGCTAGGGAACTAGATCTTACTAGCCTGTTTCTCTTCACAGGCAGTTTTTCAGCGATGTCATTGCAGGTACCATGCAGGAGTTGCAAGAGTCAGGAACTTTCATGAGCCTCCTGAAAGCCCTGCAAAAAGAAAAGGAAAACAAGATACACTTCTATGATGTCATTGCCAGGTCAGAGCAGAGGGATTTGCTTCGCTATGTGTGTGTGCGTGTGTGTGTGCTTAGGTGTGTGCACATGAATTTGGACTGGGATCTCACTATGTTACTCAGGCTGGCCTCAAACTCCTGGGGTCAAGTGATCCTCCTGCCTCAGCCCCTCAAGTAGGTGGGAGTACAGGGATGTGGCACCATGCCCAGATCTGCTTTGTTATGTTTTAAAATTGTATAAAACTCTTAGCAAGCCAAGTGTGGTGGCAGACACCTATAATCCCAGCACTTGGGGAGGCTGAGGCAGGAGGCTTAAGGGCAGCCTAGGCTACATAGTGAGATACTGTGTAAAAATAAATAAATAGAATGGAATCAAATGGAATAGAACTCTTATATTTACTGAAGTCCTTGATTTCTAAAGCAAACCAAATGTATACTTTCCAAGGAAGATAACTAGAAGTCAGAAATGTGGGTTCTACTAGATTGTCTGAGACAATAATTCAGATTTCTATAGACCCTTAGTTATCTGAATCTACAGTATATGTCAAGGATAGCCAGGGGTGGTGGTGTACACCGATAATCACAGCACTCCAGAGGCTGAGGCAGGAGGATCACCATGAGTTCGAGGCTAGCCTGGGCTACATAGTGAGTTCAAGGCCAGCCTGAACTGCACAGCGAGACATTGTCACATACACACAAAAAAGTATTCAGCATAGGCCTATGGGTATAACTCAGTGGTTCAATCTGCAGAAAGAAAGAAAAGAAGGAAGAAAAGAGGGAAGGTGGGAGAAAGGAGGGAGGGACAAAGTTCTTTAGAATAAATTCTTCTTACATGGACCCATATTCCTATACCTTGGGATCTGCAAGATTGGTTCCAGGATTTCTGGAGATACATTTGAATGCCTTGTATAAGTCAGCCTGCATATCTTTCTATTTCTATATAACTTAAGCACTGTCCTGTCCTGTACTTCGAATCATTCCTAGATTCCTTCTACTGCCTAATACAACACAGATATCGTGTAAACAGACAGATGACAAGAAAAAAGGTGTACCTTTTTGTTTTTGTTGGCTTTTTTGCAGTACTAGGTATTGAACTTGGAGCCTTTGTATTCCATCTCCAGCCTTTTTTCTTTTTTTAATTTTGTGGCAGGGTCTCACTAAATCACTAAGTAGCCCAGGCTAGGCTGGAGGTATATGTGAGCCACAGTTGGCTGAGTCCACAGAGGTGGAGCCCACAGGTTCCAAGGGCCGCTGTATTCGAATGTTTGGGTAGGTGGAACTGCTTTTCCTTGCAAGCTGTTCTTCTCTTTCTCCCCCTAGTATCAGTGATAAACTCTGCACTAGTCACCATGGACATTTGGTGACTCACTGCATGTAAGGGGACTTCCTGGCACATAGTGGCTGCCGATCACAGTAATACCTGGCCAGTCCCCCAGCACCGCTTCCATCCATGCCAGACAACTGACTGGAGTGTAGATGCTGTGAAATACAATTTGAACTTGCAGCGATCCTCGTGCCTCAAACCCCCCGCTCTACCCCCAGTGCTGGGGTCACAGGTGTGTGCAACACCTGGCTTTAGTTTTTTTTTCCCTCCAGTACTGGGGATCGAATCCCCAGCCTCGCTCATTTAATTATTATTTTTTATTTTTTTTTTAATTTTTTGTAGTACTGGGGATCAAACTCAGGACCTTGTGCTTACAAGGCAGGCGCAGTGCCACTGAGCTAAATGTCCAGCCCTGTAATTATTAAAAGCTTTATACTAATATTTTTGTTGGTTTGCTTTGTTTCGTCTTGGAGACTCCTTCAAAGGGACCTGACCGCCACAAGCCGAGCTCTCTGGAGTCTGCCACTTGCCAGGGTTTTCTTCTTTGGCTTCCCATTCTGGACATGTTTCCATTGCATTTGTCTCTTTTCTGTTTTATATCTTCTATCATCTTGTTGATTTTTTTCTCTCAGCTTTGCTTTTGCCTCTCTCACCTGCTGTGTGGGTTTATACCTTTTATGCTTCCTTTCTGATTATTCTGATGTCGTTTGAAATGGGAACAGAAGTAAAAGGTGGGTCCAACTACTGATTGAAAAGACAAAGTGCACATAAAGTGAAAACTTAGGGTAAAAATTGTGCATAAAATATAACACCAATTCTGTAAGAGAAAAGTTGTGGTTTGTATTGATTACAAGGAACTATAGTAAAATTTTAGCCATAGTTAACTCTAGATAGTGGCATTATGGGTAATTTTTCTTCTTTTTTCCTTTTTTGCATTTTCTAAAGTATTCATATATGTATTACTTACATAAATGACATTTATTTGTATGTATGTGTGTATTTATTTATATATATTTTTGAGACAGGGTCTTGCTATGCAGTTGAGGCTGGCCTTGAACTCACTCTGTAGCCCAGGCTGGCCTCGAACTTGTGACCCTCCTACCTCAGCCTCTGGAGTGCCAGGATCACAGGTGTGCGCCACACACCCGGCTTGCTATTTTATTTGTTTTAAGCCTAATAGTGGAGTTGCTGGGGAGAGAATTGTGTTTCCCAGGGCAGGCCAAGATCCCAGAACTTCAGTTCTTGGGCTTTGTGTTGGACGGTACTGAGCTCGGGCCCTGCCCTGTCTGTGTGACCAGCAAGCATGTCAGTCCTATCCCTGAGAAGCAGATGCGGCAGGGATCATTCACGCAAGGGTGGACCCGGGTGTGAAGGAGCTGGGGTGAGCCTCCACATGCCCCTCGAGAGGCTCCCGAGAAAGAGGAAGAGGCAGCTGTGCCATCTCAGGATGGCTTGGTGAGGTCATCAGGGCATCGGAGTCAAAGTCACCCATGGGACAAGTCCTCGAAAGTGTGGCCTCAGGTCGCCTGGCAGAGCCTCTCAGGGCCAAGAGGCTGGGACCTGCTTGCCATGCTCCCTGCAGCTGAGGGTCGGTGAGGCCCATTCTGTGTCCACCAGAGCATCTGTGAGCTATGGATAATGTCAGCCAGGCCTGGTGGTCCACAGCTGTCATACCAGCACTTGGGAGGCTGAGGCAGGAAGATTGCTGTGAGTTTGAGGCCAGTGTGGGCTACATAGCGAGACCCTGTCTCAAAAAAAAAAAAAAGGAAAAACAAACAAAAAGATAATGTTAGATCCTAAGGTTGAGGTGAGGACATGTACTAGTGTTCAGATGGGATGGATTTTCGTTCTTCCTCTATCTTGCTTTTTCTCAGCAGCAGATATTTTAGATATAACACTGAGAAGCCAGAAAAGCCTTCTTCCAGGAGGCTAACAGAAACCACCGTGTTTAGCAGTGTTACTGAGGGTGTGTCCAGCGCAGCCCCCCAGCCTCCTGAGCCAGAATCCTAGGCACCAACCTGCTCTGCAGTGGGCAGGGTCCCCGTGCACCCTAGGGCTTGGAGGCCCCATTTCACAAACTGTTCTTATTGGGCCGAGGATTTAGCTCAGTGGTTCCGCGGTTTGCCTCAAAAATGCTCAAGGTCCCAAGTTCGATCCCCAGTACCAAAATAAACAAACAAACAACCCACAAATTGTTCTTATTTTTTGTAGGGAGGAAGAGGGACGAAAAATGATAAAATCTCTTCAAAAACAACTGATTAATGTTAAGAAAGAACAGCAAGCTGAAGTACAGGTGAGCATCACTTGGGAGCACCAGGAGTGGCCGAGCTGGGGCAGTGTGCAGAAGGCGATTTTGCAGGCAGAGAAAAGCTGTTTGTGAAAGATTAGTGATTCTCAGGTGGCTTTTCCACTGATGCTAGGAAGAGAGGAGCCAGAGAGCAGAACTCTGAGGATCCCAGTACCCTGGAACTCTCAGTCCGTTGTCACTCTCATATCCCACCCGGGCCACACCACCACTATGTAGCCCACGCTGGCCTCAAACTTGCAGTGATCTTCCTGCCTCAGCCACCCAAGTGGGGATTACAGGCATGTGCCACCACACCAAACAGCTCATCTGTTTTGTTTTTTTTTTTGTACTGGGGATCGAACTTGGGTCCTTGTGCTTGCGCAGCAGGCGGCAAAACCACCGAGCTAAATCCCTGGCCCTGCTCATCTGTTTTTATTAGCTTTTTTTTTTTTTGGTACTGGGGATCAAACTCAGGACCTTGCGCTTGCAAGGCAAGTGCCAGAACCACTGAGGTAAATCCCCGGCCCTATAGCTTTTTAATGGTTTGTCATCAGAGTCTCAACAGGGATGACAACATGTTACCATAAAACACGGTGGAACAGTTGGAGGGCATCATCTGATTACTGCAGGCAGTGACACTGAATAGTGTTTATATAGCGAGGACCCCTACGTGGTTGGATATCTGCGATTCCATGTGCAGTTCAGGTGGCACCTGTGAGGAGCCATTCACTCCAAGGCAGTGAGGGCCATGGGATTTATTATGGAAGGAAGATAAGAGAACTGACCTTGTGCTCCCAGGGCAGGGAACAGCTCACAGGGAAATGAAACCAAGCTGGGACTGGGGCCCCAGGAGACCCGAATGGGAGATGGGGGTGGCTCAGAGTTGATTTAGGACCCTTATGGTCGAAGCCAGTAGCCTTAAGCATTGGCATACGATAGAAATGCTAATTTCATATACAATTGTACCATTGTGTATGGCTTTTATTCCTGAAATGGATTACTCCACATTTTCCTTTTGTCATCCAACCAAAGCGGCAAGTGGAGGTGTGAGGCCAATTCCAACTTCTCCAGAGAGTAAGTAGTTCAAACCTCCAGAGCCTATGGCCTCTTGCTCTGCATTCACTTATGGTATTGACACTACCATGAAAAGCCTCGGCCCTCATCACCATGGCCACCTGCAGAGCCTTCTGAGCTGTGGTTGATTGACTATTTTCTTTCCAATACTAAATCATGCTTCTCTGAATTCAAGTAACAAGTCCAGGAAATGAGGTCTGAAGCAGTTTTGGAACGTTGCAGTCCCTTTTTTTTTTTTGGTACCAGGGATTCAACTTGGGACCTTGTGCTTTCGAAGCAGGCAACAGAACCACTGAGCTAAATCCCCAGCCCCTGCAGTCCTTTCTTGGTTCATACATTAGGAGGCTAAGCTGAGGCCACTGACCCAACTCCATGGAGGTAGAAGGTACTCTGCATTTAGAAACCTCCCAGTCTTTCTTCTGCAGAGCCAAAATGAATACATTGCCCACCTCAAGGACCAGCTGCAAGAGATGAAGGCGAAGACCAATCTGGAGAATCATTACATGAAAAGGAATACCGAGCTACAGATCGCCCAGACCCAGAGAAAGTGCAACTGGACCGAGGAGGTCCTGCTGGAGGAGATCGAGGTGACCATGGTTCAGTATTGCACCCCGCAGGTCGGGGGGGCTCTCGTGTGCCAGGCCCTGGGTTCAGGCCCCAGGACCAAAGGGGCAAAAAGAAAGATCCGGGTGGGGCCAGTCCCAATGATACTGTCTCAGCCCAAGGTCACACTGTTGCCCAGGCTGGCTGCAAACTCCTGGTCTCAGGTGGTCCTCCTGACTCAGCCTCTCCAGCAGGTGGGACTACAGCCTGGCTGATGAGCTTTTCCTTCTCCTCTTCCTCCCCTTCTTCTTTTTCTTCCTCCTTCCTCCCGCTCTTCCTCCTCTTCTTTCTTCAATGTGGTACTGGGACTTGGGCTCCACCCCCAACCTTTATTTTATTTTTGAGACAGTCTCACTGTTTAGCCCAGGGTGGCCTGGAACTCACAGCCCCCTCACACCTCAGCTTCCTGAGTGATGGGGTCACAGGCATGCCTGCCACGCGCTCCTCTTCCTTCCTGTCTCGGGAAACAGGGTGACCGTAGGGAGAAGCCCTTGAGAGTCTTGCCAGTACCTTCAGGCATTTGCTGCTGCTCACTCCACACCATGGCACTTTGCCCCCCTCCAGTGTGGAATAGGAGGTCTGAAGCACAGTGCTCCACTCAGCCCGAAGCTTAGGGAGCTGAGAAGTCCCGGAACAGTCTCAGGGGAAAGAAACAAGGAGTGGCCCTTCATGAGAGGATGCTAAGTGACGCACGGGCCAGGGTGGGCACAATAGAGGTGTCCTTCTTTGTGACAACTTGCTTCCTAGGTGGTGCCCTCCACCCCGATGACACACTTCTCTTGCATATTGGAATTTCAGGTTCTAGAACCTCAGAACCTTGGGACCTTGAAGCATTGTTGTTATTTTTTTGGTACCAGAGATTGAACTTAGGACCTTTCGCTTTCAAGGCAGGCAGCAGAACCACTGAGCTACATCCCTGGCCCAGCATTGTTTTGCTCCTTCCACGGACGCCACCTTCTAGATGGCTGGATGCTGGTCCTTGTCTCCAGGGCCCTGCATGTGCTCCCTGATGTCAGCACCTGGCTCTGTAGCATCGGGGATTGTGGATGGGGCTGAGTGGAACCAACCTGCCACTCCAGAGCGATGCCTCCTTCCCAGTCCTCACTGGCCACGGAGCCCATGCCTGCTGCCGCCTGGTGTCAGTGTCTTGCCTTGGCCATGGATCTTGGCATCAATTCTTGTTCTTACAGAAAGTGAGGATGAAGACTGAAGAAGAGAACCGGATCCACATGGAGATTGAGATGTTCCTTAGGAAAGAGCAGCAGGTGAGTCACCAAAACTTTTTTTATCACTCATCTTTAAAAAACTGCACATATAAAATGCTGAGGGGAGCAAAGACTTTTTTTAGAGGTAGGAAAAGTCACCCATAATTCTAGAAGCCTAATGAATGAACTGTAGACCATGTGTTCTTTCAGAGTTACTCGTCTGACTAGATGTTTTTGGAGGGGGAGGGGTTTTTTTTTGGTTTATTTGTTTCTTTATTTTCATACTGAGGATTGAACTCAGGACCTTGTACTTGCGAGGCATGTGTGGTGCCACTGAGCTAAATCCCCAGCCATGTTTTTTTGGTTTTTTGAGAAAGATCTTGCTTTGTAGTGCAGGGTGGCCCTGAACTCCCTATGTAGCCCTGGCTGGCCCAGAACTTGCACCAATCCTCCTGGCCCAGCCTCCCAAGTGCTGGGATTATAGGCATGGGTGGGCCACCATGCTGGGCTCAGAGACTCTTTCTTTTTTTTTTTTTTTTTTGTATTAAATTCTTTCATTGGTACATTGTAGGTATACAACACAATTACATTTCTCATTGGGAATTGTACCTTTATATGATGCATCTTGGTTCTTATTTTTTCCCCATTCCTAGCCCTCCCTTCACGCCCTCCACCCTTCCCTATTTACAAAGACTTTATTTCCATTTTTTCCATTTCTCATCATTTTTTCCTTTCCCTTCTCTCCTTTCCCCTGTGCCTCCCACTACCCCTACCCCTTTGGACCTTTTCTTCCTATTTTACATTATCGATTATTCATTCTAATAATTGGTACATTTTAGGTATACAATATAATGACATTCATCATTGGAAATTTGCACCTTTACATAGTCACAGAGACTCTTTCTTTCTGGTACTGGGAGTTGAACCCAGGACCTCACATATGTTAGGCACGTGAAGAAACTGTTTTATGGCATAATGGAACATTTCCCAGTCCTCTTGAGGTTACTAAACATTAACTCTGAATTGATGTTAATTCATGGGGACCCACAACAAAACTGAGGCCCACAGTCAAAATCAGGGTTATGGTGATCAGAGGACAGATGGAGTCTTTAAAGTCTCCCTCACTGTGGCCACACCAGTTCTGTGGATCCAAGCTGTGGTTCTTTCCCACGTTACTGAATGTAATTGGAATAAACATACCTGGGCCGTTATAGTGTAAGGGCCAAGTAGGGCTTCTGCTAACCAAAATGTTAAACCAGAGGCCTCACCATACCCCCGGTGGCACTGCAGAGGTGAATGCCACTGTCACAGTCTTGAAAGAAGCAGGGGTGGTGATGTCGACCACATCCCCACTTGGCTGTTTGGCCTGTGCGGAAGCTAAGTAGACCCTGGAAAAAATGACTGTGGGTGATTGTAATCAGGTGGTGCCTCCAGCTGCAGCTTCTGATCAGGTGGAAGATCTTTCCTAGGCTGAATCTGCAGTGGCTCCCGTTGTTAGCCTGGTCACAGCCCCTGCCTCCAAACCAGCTTGAAACCTACCAGCAGCAGCTTGCTTTTACCTGGCAGGGCCAACAGTGCACCTTGTGGTCTGGTGTCTAAGCTCTGTCACTTCTCCTGTTCTGTCCTATGATGTGGCCTGCAGAGATACTGCTTGTCTTCACTTTCCACAGAACATCATCCTCTCTTATGAATGGCATTATGCTGACTGTATCCAGTAAACAGGAAGTAGCAAGGTCGACTTTTAGTAGGACATATGTGACTGGAAGGTGGGGGACAAAGCCCATTTCTGGTACCAATTCCGTGTCACTAATGATCCATTTAGATGACAAGAACCATACCAGTAATTTGAAGAAAGGAAACTTAACAAAAAAAAATCATGAGCTATTAATAAAGGATTGACCATTAAGAAGGAATAAAAGGGCCAGGGATTTAGCTCAGTGGTTCTGCCGCCTGCCCTGCAAGCGCAAGGACCCGAGTTCAATCCCCAGTACCAAAAAATAAATAAATAAATAAATAAAATAAAAGAGTCAAGTGTGATGGTGCATGCTGCATACCTGTAATTGCAGCACTTGGGAGGCTGAGGCAGGAAGATTGCCAAGAGTTGAAGGGCAGCCTGGGTTACATAGTGAGACCTTGTCTCAAAAAAAAAAAGAAAAAAAGGAATAAAGAACACACTAGGGCAGGTGAGCAGTATCCAAGGAAGGAATAAACTTTGAAAGGAGGGGAGCAGGAGGCTCCTTCCAGGCTGAGATTCAGACCTCCCTGGAGAGGGTGTGGCTGGGCCTCCTGGCTGACACAGTTGTTTCACACTGACAGGGTCAGGCTAGGAAGCAGCAAACTGTGGACTTTGCTAAAAGTTCTTTTTAATCAGATGACCATTTGGTTTTATAGCCAATTCATCCATTGAGCTAATATACTTTTCTCCTTTAATATATTAATAAACTAAAATACATTACCAGATTTGATGTTCAATCATCTTAAATTCTTGGGATCAACCTTCCTGGGTCATAATGTGTTTGGCAAGCAGAGCTCTGTGCGGCAGTATCAGTTAAGACTTGGGGTGAACAAGTGCCAGTGGGTCTCCCCACTCAGACCCTCCTAGTAGGGTTCCCTAGAACAAGAACAGAAGCAGCATACTGGGTCCAGAACAGCCCTCTTGCCACATCCTTGAGTGTCCTTACTGACAAAGTGTAGTGTTTTGCTAGGTGGTCAGTTTCCAGCAAGCATCCTGCCAGTGAACAGCGAATTTGGAGCTGAGCAGCAATTGATATTGGTACAAAGGGGTTTTTATTTTCCATTTATCTTCAAGTATAAGGTTTACTCTGTAGGCTTAAAGGTTTTGTTATTTTTGGTTTTTTTGAGACAGGCTGCCTAGTTTGGCTGCCTTGAACTCACTATGTAGCCTAGGCTGGCCTTCTAACTCATAGTGATCATCCTGCCTCAGCCTCCCGACTGCTAGGATTATAGGTGTGCACCAGTATGTCCAGCCAGATTTTCTTTTTCAAAATCAATGAATATTCAACTTTATGAGATGGATTTTTTCATCCATTGAGATGTATTTTTCTCCTTTAATATACTAATAAAGTAAAATTCATTAATATATTTGCTGATGTTGAGTCATCTTTAAATTATTGGGATAAACACTGCTTGATCATGCTGTATTAGTCTTTTTTTGGCGGGGGGGTGGGTACCGGGGATCGAACCTGGGTCCTTGTGCTTTCGAGGCAGGCGGTGGAACCACTGAGCTAAATCCCTGGCCCCTGTATTAGTCTTTTAAGTGGCTGCTAGAGTTGATTTATACTTTTCACTTACATATTTATTCCATAAGTGATATAACCTATAGATTTTATCTTAACACTGAATTTCAAATTTGTTAGTGTAAAGCTGGGCTTTATAGTCTTATATTTAATTTTTTTTTTATTTCTGTAGTTTTATCATCTGTTTTTGTTTTAGAGACAGGGTCTTGCTATGTAGTTCAGCCTGGCCTTGGACTCACTATATAGCCCCGGCTGCCTTGAACTCACCAAGATCCTCCTGCCTCAGCCTGCTCAGGGCTGAGATCATAGGTGTGGAGTGTATAGTCTGAGGAACATTTCTGAATACACACCCATGCAGCCACCACCTACAAGGTACCAAGAGCACTAATGCATCCCAGAGTTCCCGCCTACTTCCAGTGGGTGACCCCCACCCAGATAACCACCTTCTGCCTTCCATCACTGCAGGAAAGCCTTGCTTGTTCTTGAGCCTGACATAAATGGCACCAGAGAGTATGCGCTGTTTGTGTCTGGTGGAAGACATGTTTTCATGTTCTTCCTAACAGAGGCTTGAGGAGAAGCTAGAGTTCTGGATGGAGAAATTCGATAAGGACACAGAAATGAAGCAGAATGAACTGAATGCTCTCAAGGCTGCCAAGGCCAGTGACCTAGCTCACCTGCAGCACCTGGCGAAGATGGTGAGGAGGTGGGAGATGGGAGGTGGGAGGCACTCCGGAGAGGGGGGGAGCTGAGCCAGAGGGGCCGGGTGATGTGGTCTGTGCTCAGAAGTGGAGGTTGCCTCCAAGCAGTGGCTTCTCCTCAGAGGATGGCGATGGTGCAGGAGCAGCAGCTCGCACTCACATGACATTACTCTAGCCCAAGATTTTCTGGTATTTTAAGTGTAACTTTAAAACCTTACAACTACTGGGCTGGGGATTTAGCTTAGTGGTTCTGCTGCCTGCCTTGCAAGCATAAGAACCCGAGTTCGATCCCCGGTACCAAAAAATCCTCACAACTCCTTTAGATACTACACCATCATCATTTCCACTTTCTGGTCTCTTCAGACAATATGTAAGTAATTGTTTTTCCTTTTTTTGAGACAGGGTCTGAATATGTAGTTTAGGCTGGCCCCTTACTCAGGGTGGTCCTCCTGCCTCAGCCTCCTGACTGCTGGGATTACAGGTGTGCATCCCCTTCCTTGGCTTGTAAATAATGATTTCCAAAGAGCTTCTGATTGTGGCTTCATCACTGAATGAGTGTGGAGCTGTCTAAATTTTTCTTTCAAAGACAGTTATTTGCATATGTACATTCTACCAAAGTTTTAAAAAGTCATATTATGTTGAGGTCAATATTCACACATTGAGTTAGTATTTCATTTGTATGAAAGATTTTAAACCTTAAATCTGAATTACACTGAACAAACTTGGGAACATTATAAAGTTAATATATGCATATCTATAATCCAGTAATATTTTTCTATAGTTTACATTGAGATTTAGCATGTTTTATTTTAAAACTTTGTATTGAAAGTGCAGGTTGGGTCATAGTTTAGCTAAGAGAGTTCAGTGACAGGATTGATGTCTACTTTTACAGATTCGGGAGTATGAGGAGGTCATCATTGAAGATCGGATAGAAAAGGAGAAGACCAGGAAGAAGATGGAACAGGATACGCTGGAACTAAAGAGTGCCATAAAGGTAGATAACTGTAACTAGCTAGTGTCTTGGGGTCCCCAGGTCACACCCAGTCTATTTCCAAGGGACACAGCTTTTCTCATCCATTATCAAACACAGTGGCCGTTTGGAGCTGGGCATGGTGGCGCATGCCTGTAGTCCCAGGACTCAGGAGGCCGAGGCAGGAGGATCACTGCAAGTTCAAGGCCAGCCTGAACTACATAGTGAGGCCATGTCTTAAAAACCAAAACTAAAAAACACATGGCTGTTTACCACGGAGCCAACCAGTGAGGCCTTTTGTTCTGTCAGTTTCCCATGCACCTACAGCGCAGACGCTGACTGGGATGGGGAGACAGAGGTGGTCAGCTGCGGACGCAAAACTGAGGGCCAGAGCTCAAACTTGAGACAACTGCTTCTGGCCAAGCCAGCTCTTGGCAGTGATTCTTCTGAGCACCCTGCTTCTTAAGGTCCTGTTCATATGGCAGATGACTTTCCTGGCCTGATATGAGCTGCTTTCCAAAAAGGCAAGGGATCAAGCAGCTGGTTAGAAAAGGAGCTGTTACAGTTTTCTGTGAACTCACCTATTAGCAATGATGAAATGAGCAGGTCTCACATTTTGGAAAATGTTTTAAAGCAAAAACTGTACTGCAAAAATACTATGAGTGGGGCTGAAGCTGCTGTTTGGAATCCACCCTACCCCTGAAGAGGGGCGTCAGCCGAGACCCAGGGGGCAAACTCTAGCTTGGGTTGTAGATGAGGAGGTGGACTAAAAAGGGAAGCTTTTCCCCCCTTTTTAATTTTGGTATTGGGGATCGAACTTGGGAACTTGCGCTTATGAGGCAGGTGCAGTGCCAGTGCCACTGATCTAAATCCCCGGCCCTATGTCCCTTACTTTTTATATAGTATGTATTTTGTTGTTATTTTATACTAATACAGTCTCATATTACAAAGGTAATTTAGTGAAAGAATCTTTCAAAAAAGGAAGCTTTGGGGGCAACCCACTTTCCGGTTCCCCTTCTGTCTTAGGCAGAAGCTTTCTTTCCCAATAAATTTTTCCTAGTCTTAAAAAAAATAAAAAATAGAAAAGGTTCAGGTATCTGAACCAACTCTGAGCTATTAGAGTCCACTGTATAATTAGCAAGTATTTATCAAGCTTCTATATTTCCCATTTGTCAAGATTGGTTGATTTAAGGCCAAAACCTAAGAACTGGGGGAAGACTACTTTTGTTTTCATTGGTGGAGCTCCCAGTGTTTGGGGCTTAGGATGATTTTTAAGTAGCCTCCACTGTATTCCTAACAGTTGCATCTAAAGAAGAACATAGTCAAGGTGCTCTTTTAATCCGTCTTGAAAGTAAGATTTAGTCAATTCCCAAAGATAAGAAATGCACCAGACAGCCTTATGAAGCCATCTGACTGATTACTGTTTTTGTTTTGTACCGGAATGAACTCAGAACCTTGTGCTTTCTCTTTCGAGGCAGGCGCAGTGCCACTGAGCTAAATCCTCGGCCAGATTTCTGCCTTTTTGACCAAGTCCAGGTAACAGATTTTCCTGGATGTTCATTTTTTTTGAGACAAGGCGTCACTGCCCTGGTCAGGCTGGCCTTGAACTCTCCCATCCTCCTGCCTCTGCCTCTCGAGTGCTGGGATCACAGGCATGCGCCACCATACCGGGCTCTCCCGGACGTTTCCAGGGAAGCAGTTCGAGGAAGTCAGGTTTCTAAGTGTGAAGGAAAAATCAGCCTCATCAGATTCTTTCTACCAACAGTGACAGCGGCCAGCCAGCTCTGTCTCAGAGGCTTCCGTGGGAAGGAAGCAGCATGACGGGCACACTCCAAGCGGTACTCACTTCCCTTCCTCTTCCAGCTCCAGGCCTGGTGGCGGGGCACTGTGATACGGAAGGAAATTGGAGGCTTCAAAATGCCTAAGAAGGAGAAAGATGACAGTAAGGATTCAAAAGGAAAAGACAAGGACAAACGAAGAGGCAAGAAGTGACAAGTTACCTCCTGTCCTTGCCTCTGGAATCCCGGAGGTTGGGAGCATCCAGAGAACTCATCGGTGTTTTTATTTGGGGCCTGCGATTTCACCTGAATTAGGGTACTATCAATTTAGGGTTTCTTCATTCATTGAATTTTGCTTGGAAGAAGTATTTGCAGCAGCCTATTTCTCTTGCTCTTTCCTACCAGAAAAAACAGTTCCTGGGCTTAGGTATAATGATACATTAAAACTTTAGTAACTCCTATGTGTCTGATTCTGATTCTAATTTGTCTAAAGTGAGAATCTTATGTGCAAAAGTGAACTATTCAGTAGGAATTATAAAGTACAGTCTTATACACAACAAATTTTAACAAATGCTGGTTCCTGCCTTTTGGATTATTTTAGTGTTTTTATTGGGGGAGATCATAATATTCATAAATGGCTCCAGCAACATTCTGGGGATCGGTAGGGATATAAATTATAGACAAGCTAGAAATGGGGTGTGAAAGGTGAGGACACATAGGTTCTCTGGAAGGCTAGTTTAGAGATTTTTTTTTTTTTGAGGCAGGTCTTTCCGTGTAATTCAGGCTGACCTTGAAGTCACTGTGTATCCCAGGCTGGCCTTGAACTTGGGAGGATCCTTTCCAAGTGCTGAGATTACAGGGGTATGCCACCATGCTGGCTTAAATTTGGAGATATTTTCAACCAGACGCAACTGTTCCCATCTTGTGGGGTATTAAGACTGGAAGAGGAAAAGCCTATGAAAACACCTACCTGTGCCAGGCACATAGTACAGCTGTCTGTCATTCTCCTTCTCCCCTTATGGAACAATGAGCCCACTAGGTCATGCTTGCCCCAATCAACCAAAACAATGTCTAGGGATGCTAATGCTTTCTCTACAGCACAGCAGGGAACTTCTGAGAGAAAAGCTGTCCTTAAGTGTCACATTTATTTCATGAATTAAGCCCTCTGTACAACTTCAGTTACAGGACAATCTTGTTATCTCTTCTTCCTTTAAGTAAACTTCAACCTTTCCTTCAAGGAATTAGCCTGTCCTGGCCTTGAACTCTATGTAGCCAAGGCTGGCCTTGAACTCCCAGTGATCCTCCTGCCTCAGCCTCCCAAGTGCAAGTGCTGGCACTACAGGTGTGCACCACCACGGCTGGCCGGAAACTGCTTTAGGTATGAACATTTTCAAACATTACATGCTACTTAAGTGTTGGCTTTATTTTAATGTCAATGTGTAAGGTGGCATACAGGCAATTTAAAATAACACATGATATTGACATATTTATACTTAAACTTATGCAGTATATTTACAGACATACAAATATAGGACAATGTTTTACATAATCTTTTACTAATTATATGTTTATAACATTTTCAGAATAAAATGAAATCTGCTGTAAACCATCTCACTGCACTGTATAAATAAAAGGGTTCCTACTATCCATGTTTTCCTTCATTTCTAGAACCACTTAAGCACTTAACATTTTTAAAATTCATCAGATTCGTCGCTGCTGACTGTAGGAAGCAAGATAAATTACAGATTCCGTGATTAGCTGTGTGGTGCATTTTAAGAAGCTGTTAAGGAAAGTGACCTCCCGCTAAGCCTCCTCCAGTTCTGGCCGGATACCCAGACCTCCTCCCAGAGCAGTTTCTAGACCTGGTTATTAAGGAGAATGCTCGTCTGGAGTGTGAAGCAGATGCATTTGAAGGCCTGGAAACTGCTGACAGGAAATCTCTGTAGGTGGCAGGGGAGGCCCAGGCACGGAGCCTGTTGGTATTGGTGCTGTCAGTGCTGGAAGGTCCTTTCTCCAAACCAGGAAAAGGGTGACAAGGCCACGTTCACCATACATGAGTCTAGCAATCCTAAATGTTAAACGGAATTGTTCCAGTTTAAAAAAAAAATACATAGGTACACAAAAAACACTGAATACCAAAATTCTCTAACAAAAGCATCATGATTTGTTTTCACATACAGAAAAAATTCAATATATTTTGACAATTTTTCTTCACTATCAGCCAAAATTGATCACAAATTTTTTCTAACAATTCAAACACAAATCTGAATTAGTTTGATGAAAGTACATTAAGGTTTCATATGAAGTGTAAAATTTAAAATAAGTTGAAATTCCCACTTATTCCAATGTAAAAGTGAGATATGGCCAGTGTTGCATTATGTAATGCATTCTAGACTTGTTCCCCACACGATGCAATTCATGAGCTGGAGATTTTACTGAGGTTTAATGTTTAGAAGGAAAAATATCTGGTTAAAAAAAATGTTAAATTCTCATCAAGTTACATGGTTGGTGGATGTGCCTGGAACTGTAAACTTAGTGGGTCTGGCTCTAGCATTTATAAGCATTTTATTTTCAATCTGTGAGGTCCTTGATGGATTGGGCTTTCAGTTCAGATGTTTATGTTATATAACGTTAAACTTGAACAAGGTGGCAAGGTTCTAATGAAAAGTTCACAAGAACATAGAGAAAACATTCTTTGACCAGATAATCAGAATGACTTTGTACAAAGCTACTTTGAGATGCAGCACATATGTGATGAAGAGGGCTAACGGTATGCTCAGATGCATGTATTGGTAAAGAAAATCCAGAATAGAACTAAAGGGAAAAATCCCTACATAACTAGAATGCATGCTTACTCTATTTGGTTTACAAAGGTGGTGAACACCAAAAGCTGTCACTGACAACTAAAAAGGCTTATGGTTTAAACCATGTTTAGTTTAAGCTTGATAAAGGGCCTTCAGCCCTTTTGCTCCCAACAGTTGGGCAGAGAAGGCATTGGGGGCTGGAGCCCATGAGGGGGACACAGAAAGCAGTGTTCCTAAGAAGCTCTATGTGCTCTTACCCCACCAGGGAATTGGCGGTTACCTGGCAGTTAGAGGAAACCTGGCTCCCCTTCTGTCCCATTTGCATCTTCCACTGGCCAGGGAGCTAAGTGTCTGTGAGGGCTGTAGTGCGCCTGTAGGTTCAGGCACCCAGGGACCACTTGGGGGCGATGATTGTGCAAATGGTGCAGAGGAGTGCAAGTCACCAGTGTGGGGACTTGGAACCTGTGTGTGGGGTGCTTGCTGATGTGAGGACATAGTGGGCTGCTCCAGGGCCATCCTCTATAGCAGGAAGATGAGGCAGCAGTGACTGGAATTGCAGTGCGGCCAGAACACTGCTTTAGACACAACTCCACCCACCTGTACAAAATCTAGGCTTTCTGTATTATTATTTTACCTCGGACAAAATAGTCTGAGTCATCCTAACATAGCTTTTGATTTTAAATGTGGCTGAAATGCAGTGAAGGCAGTGTCCCCAACCCTACACAGATATGACTTGAGGCTACAGCCTCCACATGAAAACCACTGGCAAGGATGTAGACAACAGATTTCCAGGTCTCACCCTAGAACCACTGAGTGCAAACCTGCAAATGCTTGAGAGATTCTCATATATGACTGGTGAGAAAGCAGTGGTTCCTGGCTGTCTCAGGAGCTCGGGAAGATAACAGCATACCTGCACCTTCCACGCTCTGCTACATGAAATAAGCCTGCGTCTGGGAAAGCACAGCTAGCAGGGGCTTCCATGTTGGGGGTTCTTCCATGTTGAGAAGCTGCATTTGAGAAAACCAACCGTATCTTTTATAAAAAAAAAAAATCAATGGTAATGGGTATAACCTCCCCTAAAATGGAGAAAAGAAGCCAAACATTCCCGGTAGGAATCGTGGAAACGTCCCTTCTAGAACACGTAAGAGCTCTGGTTAAGCAGATGGGATGGCTGGCTGCAGCGATCACGGTGTCCCGCTTGTGTGGTGGCCAGGCCAGTACCCTCGGTCCTGGGGTCCTTACACAGCAGACAGCTGCTGCTGCTGCTGCTGCTTGGCCGGGGCGAGTGCCAGGAGAGCCTGCACCGTCACTGCAACCTGGCCCAAACCTTTCTCTTCTAAAATGTGGAGAGGCAAGCACAATTGCTCCTGAAATGGGACAATGTGACATAAAAACAAACAAAAGAGAATATAAGGTAAACATATCACAGAACTAAAAGGAAAAAATAAACACGTCTCCCTCAGAATCACTAAATGAGATATGAAAAGTCAGTACTTAGGAAAGCTGACCTGTTAGTATGAGTTAAATAGAGATCATGTCTGACACTCACTGTCACTTTATTAACACAACTAAAGTACATACAGGTCCTTTTGAAAATTCAAAAACTGACAAGTACATACATTTATATATTCAACAGAGGAGAACAGAATACTGTGGAGGCAAAGTGGCAACATACTTTTGTCTTTTTTTTTTTGAGACAGGGTCTTGCTATGTAGTTCAGGGTGTCTTTAAACTCACTACTATGTAGCCCAGGGTGGCCTGGAACTCTCAACAATCCTTCTGCCTCAGCCTCCCAAGTGCTGGGATCACAGGCATGCACCACCATGCCCGGCTAATGTCCTTTATCTTTGATAAATAAGACGAATGCACATATATAAAACAGGAGGGGAAAACACTCAAGTTACCAAGATGGTCCCAGTCTGCAAGCTATCACTAACATTAGAGGGGAAAGAGCTTTCGAAGGTATACACCACAGGAATACAAGATAGGTTCATGACATCACTGGGGTTTTCTGAAAGGGGAAGTCCCCTACCTGCCTCAACCTTCTGGTTCTGAAACCATATTCTCAGACCAAACAGGGGTCCCAGGAGGAACCTGGGTGTATCCTGAGCTTCTGAGATTTAGATGTATTTCAGAAACTTTCCCTGATTTAGGATAATTCATGGAAGGCTCAGCATGAATTAGTTAAAAGCATGAATTACAAAGTTAAAAAGAAATTGTATTTAAAAAAGTAAAGTATTTCATATTCTGGAATTTGATGGATTAAATTATGGTGGAGAATTATTATGTCAGCTTAGTAACATCTTTTTTTTTTTTTTTTTAATACCGGGGATCGAACTCAGGACCTTGTGCTTGCAAGGCAGGTGCCGGAACCACTGAGCTAAATCCCCAGCCCAGCTTAGTAACATCTTGACTACCAATATGTCATAAGTTTTACATGTTTGCTTAAGTTAAATATATCTTGTTTGCCTAATTAACTTGCTTGATTAGTCCTTTCTTCTAAGAGAAAAGGGCAAATATTAAGTACAACATTTATCTATTGGCTTTCCTGTTAACATTAAACCAGAAAGCAGAATTCTGGTTAAGAAGAGATTATATATATGTATTAAGGACAGTAAGTGGATTTCTCTCTGCTTCTCATTTGGCACTTGTGATACATTACTAGGAAGTTTTACAAAACCAGTTGTAATAAAAATACAGCAAGTATTTATTTTTGAGGCAGTTATTGGTACTTGTGCTTACTTTCCTTTTATTTAATAGCTATTCTGATAAAACAAAGTAACTGTAATCTTTTGACCCAATACAACTACCTTCTTTGTATAATTACTTTGAGTCCTACTTCAAATACAGATTCCCTCTACCGAAAGTGAATCTGCCTGACACTTTGCTTTCTGTAAGGCTGACTTCCTGGTCCCCCCAGGAGCATCGTGGCTGATCCCATGGTGTGGTGCCCAGTCCTCGGGGCTGGTGCTTCCTAGGTACACCTGTACTGTCCTGCTGGGCTGGAGGGACCACTGTGTGTTTTCAGGAGAATGCACCACAACCAACCTAAACCATACCTGAGCCATGTTTTTATTTTTTAAATGAGAAAAAGCTCGTAAAACTCTGAAAATAATCACAGACTCTTATGATACCTTAAAAATAAAACAAACCCAAACCCCCAAACTCTGGAAGGCACTACTGTATAAAACTGAAGATTTTCTTCCTTTTTAGGATTGAACCCTGGACCCTCACACTTAGCCAAACAGCCAGCCTTCCTTCTCTCCATATTTATTTATGTATGTATGCTTTTTTTTTTTTTTTTTTTAATTTAGAGACAGGGTCTTGCTAAGTTGCTAAGTTACGTGGGCTGGCTTGAATTTGTGATCCTCCTGCTTCAGCCTACCAGAGTGCTGGGATTATAGGCATGTGCCCCATGCCAAGCTTATTATAAAGTAGTTTTAAGCATTAAGGTCCAGAAGCTAATACACTAAGTAGTTTGAGAGGCATTGACAATATTCATTGCAGTGAGTATAGAACAGACTGCAGTATAATACTTTACCTACTATTGTTCAGATATAATCTTCCCAAAAGCTTATAAGATAAAATTCACCTATAAGGATGGTTCAAATATATCAACATTATATACATCCCAACTTTAAAGTCTAAATAGGATTATAGAAGTGAATCAAAGGTACAGACAAACAAGCTCAGTAAATCTAGACAGGTACCTAAAGCTCATGGGCCCATGGGTTTCATGTGTAATATATAAATGTGGTTTCTGGGCTCAGAATGGCAGTTCACAGAACTTGCATGACCTTTAAGATGAACATTCTGACCAAACTGAAGTTATGAATACTAAATGGCCAATGTCTTCCAAATGTCCAGACTCCTTCCATGGACCTGTGCCTCCCAATGAAGGGCAAGCTCAGGATTTTGAGGCAGACAACTAAGTGACAAGGTGTCCCTAACCAGAAAGGGCACCACCATCTTCCTTCCAAGCAGCTGTTGAAGAGGTTTAAGCTGTGCTGAGGCATGGAGAAATGGTCAAGTGGGGATTTACTGTCATGTGGAAATAATAAAGTTTATATGTCATATTCTAAGAACAGGTTCAAGATTGCATTAGTAGAAATGCTTCAGCATTTGTGATAAGAGAAAAAAGGTCACTTATCAGAAGAGAAAGTGCTGGTGTTTTGCTAGCAATTATGAATGCTTATGGGCGTGATGGGGTGCTCTTCCGGACCTCTGAGGAAAGGACTAAGATTTGTTCCTTCATACCAGGGGGAAAAGCACATATGTAAATTATTCTGCCTGAGAAACAAACCTCTACCAAGTGCAGGAATGTGGTAAAAAAATCTCAAGAATGCAGTCTTTCAGCTAGAGGGGAAGATCCAGGAATAAAGCATACAGAGAATTAACATCAAAGTACAGTAAAATGCCACAAAACCCAGAAGTTCGACAGACAGAGAGACAAAACTGGATTCTTCTGAATGTGCCCCAAGAGAAAGTAGTGTTTCAACAGTTCTTTTAACGCTGAGGTTTAGCTGAAGGATGTCAGAAGGGGAACAAAGATTGTCCTGTCCAAAGTGTGAGCAGGAAAGGAAACAGAAAAACAAAGTCAGTGGATCAGAAATGCAGATTTGAGCAGAGTTCAATATGATCATTTCAATCACAATAAAAACAGTACATGTCCTGTAACATTTTTATTATGATGAATAAAAATACAATGCTGAAAAACAACACGATTTCTTGTGTGCAGACTGATTTCGCTACTAAATATCAGCATGCGATCTGCTTGCAGGTGCCCAGTATGAGTGTTGAAGACCTGAGCAAACTGGAGGCTGGCTTAGAGGGGGTGAGACAACCTCTTCCTCAACACTTGTTCTTTCCTACCAGCACAGAAAGAACAGGCAAGGACACAAATCGGGGGTTGGGGGCATGGGAAGGTTCAAAATGAGCAAAGCCTCATAACTGGGAAACTTACCAGCTAAAAGCCCAGTGTACTGAATGACTTAAGAGTTCTTGTAAAAATTAGATCAAGTCCACCTTAAGCAAGTCTAATAAACTAACAAAGGGAATGCAGAGCTGTAAGGGGCCTTAGAGATCATCCAAACTTGCCATTTTATAGATTAAGCAATTCAATAAGCAAAAACATTACTGGATTTGACAAGAGGGTTTTTTTGAGACAAACTCTCGCTATGAAGTTCAGGGTGAACTCACTATGTAGCCCAGGCTGACCTCAACTAAAGGCGATCCTCCTGCCTCAACCTCCCAAGTACTGGGATTACAGGCATGAGCCACCACAACTGGTTGGAAAATATTCTTTTTTTTTTTTTTTAATTAAATTCTTTTATTGGTACATTGTAGGTATACAACACAATTACATTTCTCACTGGGAAGTGGATCTTTACATAATGCATCTTGGTTCTTATTTTTTCCCCATTCCTAGCCCTCCCTTCATGCCCTCCACCCTTCCGTATTTACAAAGACTTTATTTCCATTTTTTCCATTTCTCAGCATTTTTCCTTTCCCTTCTTTCCTTTCCCCTGCCCCTCCCACTACCCCTACCCCTTTGGACCTTTTCTTCCTATTTTACATTATCGATTATTCATTCTAATCATTGGTACATTTTAGGTATACAATATAATGACATTCATCATTGGGAATTTGCACCTTTACATAGTCTCTCTTGGTTCTTATTTGGAAAATATTCTTTAACACATAAACAAGATGCTGGACTCAAATACAAGTTTTTTATTCCAAGATAGCTCTTTTTAAAAAGTACATGTTTAAAAAAAGCATACAAGTGAATAACCATAATAATAAAAGTGAATACTTACCCTCATCATAAATTTTTTAGTAGCTTGACTCTTTAGTGGTCCCTAATTTAATCTGTGTAACACTTTAAAAGTTACACCAAGAAGAGAAATTGTCTTCATGCATATTAGCTGGTCACATCATAGGATCTGATGAATATCTAGGATACTGAGTTTTCTCTTTTATATTTTCAAAAGTGATCATGATTTTACCCCCAATTTTCTTCTCAAGCTAACAGGGCAAGTGGGGATGCTGAGGCAAAGGGTGTCTGGAGGGGAGAGGGAGGGAGAGGGGTGTGAGTGCAAGCTGGGACCTTTCAGCTGTACACTTGGAATATCTTCTTCCAATCTGTGTGGCAAATGGCTAATGTTTCAGCAGAAGTGGCAGGGTAACAGGAAGTCATCTAAACAGGTGGTGGCAGCAGTGGTCGCGGCAGGGATTTGGGTGGACAGCAGAAGGGGAGAAGGAAGATGTGGCCTATGTGGGATGCTATTTCCTCTTTCTGGTAGGGGAGAGGAAGAGGGAGGCAGGTTGCATCCAGAACCCCAGTCTACCCACTCTGAAAAAAACTCAGTCTTTTAAAGTTGTACTTTTCTGTTTCTGTACTTGGCTTCAAGTAGCACAGTCCTGATAGAAACAGGTGGCTGGCCCATACCATTGACTTAAGTGCATGTTTGCAGGTAAACTGTTTTTGTATTTTGCTGACCACAGGAACATTCTGGAAGATTTCAGGTTAGGGACTTTCAATCTGAGAGAGGATAATTCTGTAAAGCCCAGCATAATGTCTGCAAAACTGACAAACAGTACTTTGAACAAGTACTGACACAGGCCCAGTCAGCACACCTTGCTTCTTTTGGGATTCCCATTCCCTGCAGCCACCCATGCTGCATTCTCTTGCCCAGAGCCACTGTGGTGTGGAGCTGGAGCAGGCACCAGGCATGTCTGTGTGAGCAGGGATGGCTTCGGCACAAGCAATGAAGGAAGGAAGGAAGGACTGGATGTTAATGTGCATGTGCACATGTTAGAACTTGTCTACTGATATGGAGAAAGTGCATGCTAGTTCTATAGAAGCCATATTAATTGCTCTATTAATATATTTAACATGGTTTGATAAGCCTTTATTAAACAATAATATAAAAATGAAAAATCTGTTTTGAATTTGTCCACAGGAATAAAAAAGGTCACTGCTCACTACCACTTTAGTGTTTCAGTTCTTTTATAGCTCAGGTTATAAAAAAACAGCAAAAAGAAAAAAGTGAAAAATAAAGAGTATAATGATGTTCTCCTTAAGAAAAGGAGAAAAACAACTGCAGGAATTCACACTGGCTAATGCAGATGCGCTAGGGAGCTGGGCTCTTGCTCTTCTCCTCTGTAACAGGAAAAGAGCAGACAGAAAAGGCTGCACACTGGACAAGTGATGCCCTGGGCTTCTGAACCAGGTGAAGAGGGTCACTGTGAAGCTACCGGAACAAGGGCTTCACTTTGAGAGGAACAATGGCAACCCAAGGGCCAATCCCCAGTCTCTGACAGCTAATCAAGGTGACAGACAGTCATGTTTTTGTGCACTGCAAGTTGGACAAAATGTAAGAATTGCAGGGGTTAGGGATGTGGTATAGTGGTGAAGCCTGTGCTTAGCATGCAAAAAGAAAAAAAGATCATATGGCACCATACTGTAAACTTTAGATTTGTCTATGTACCACTTTATTAAATAAAATATTCCTGAAGAGTACATGCTTAGTTCATTTCATTTTCCTAATCACATCTATAAATAAGTCTACCTACACTATTAAAGGGCAAGAATATTAACTGAGGAACTTGGAGGCAGTAAATCCTTAGAACAGAACTGGTGCTTAGAAATGGCCTCATTAAGAAAAACTGGGCAAAATAGACATAGGAATTCTCTATGCTAGTTCTGTAACATTTCTAACAGTCTAAGATTATTTAAAAATTAACTTTAAGGGTATTAAAGCAAGTGTTAAAAAACAGAAGCAAACTGAAGCATTCTCAATCTGAGAAGTATTTATGTTGAAAGATGCTGTTGTGCATGTACATAAGTCAAAGGGTAAAGATGTTTAAGAAAATAGAATATTTCTTATTAGATACTTATAATTATTTAAATTACTTGCATTTCTGATAGATTTTATGACAATAATACTCAAATCTTTTAGGCAACACAAAAAAATGCTAAACATATTACCTGAGGTACACCAATTTTTCTGCATGCTTCTAGGAAATTCTCCACATTTCGCCTGCATTTTGCCATTGTTAATTTAGGCTGAAATGAGAAAAGGAAGGGGACAAAGTATGGTGTTACCAGCAAAGGTCTATAAAATGTACTGATTGCTATGCATGGTGGTACATGCCTGTGATGGCAGCATTGGGAAGGCTGAGGCAGGAGGAACATAAGTCCGAGGCCAGCCTGGGATAACACAGCAAGTTTGAGGCCTGCCTGAACTACACAGTGAGACACTAGTTTAAAAAAAAGTGCTAACTTTAAAAACACTCTTGCCAAAAACAAAAATAAGAACCAAGATGCATTATGTAAAGGTACAATTCCCAATGAGAAACGTAATTGTGTTGTATACCTACAATGTACCAATAAAAGAATTTAATACAAAAAAAAAAACAACAAAAAAACCCCACTCTTGCCAGTTGCTTCACATGCTCACCATGGTAAAGACTAGGGGGTTAGCAAAGTTTTCCTCAAAGGATCTGGTAATAAATGTTACTCTTGAGAGCCACAAAACTGGCAACAGCTCACTACTACTTGGTGCTTGAAAGCAGCCACAGACAACGTGCACACATGCAAGTGCGCTGTGCTCTGGGAGCACTTCACGCACTGAAATAGGCCGCTGCCTGTGGGGCACAGTCTGCCACCTCAAGCCCCCCACCCCCCAACCGAGATGTCTCACCTTGGTTTTACAAGTGAGCGTTACACAGAGAAGCTCTGGAGGAATAAAGAATTTTTGTGGGTTTTTTTTCCCATTTTAAAACAATATACACTAAAGAGAATTTGGAAGAACAGAATTAACTACCCATAGCTCATCTTTCAACTATTACCACAATTAACAATTGGTTCATTTTCTTTTAGTCTATTTTATTTTATTTATTTATTTTTGGTACCGGAGATCGAACTTAGGTCCCTGCGCTTGCGCAGCAGGCAGCGAAAACACTGAGCTAAATCCCTGGCCCTCTTTTAGTCTATTTTAAAGGAGATAATTTTTTTAAAAAACAGTAGCATTTGCTTATAATTACAGAGGCATTACGTCTTTATTCACTGGCAACATTTAAAATTTTAAGAACATTTATTTATTTATGGATCTGGGATCACCTAAGAGGCCAGTTGTCGAAGATGCACAATAAATTAACATGTATAAATGTGGCCACAAAGAAACTGATACGGTTTTTTATTTTATGGCCTTCATTTGTAACCTCATCGCAAAAGTAATTCTACTAAGAAAGTAAATAATAAAGTTCACCATACGGTCATAAGAACAAAACAAGGGAACAAACAGTCCACTGTGAGGAAGAACAATTTATATGAAGGAAAAAGAGATATAAATATGTATCCTGAAATCTATTTATTTATTTATTTGGTATCGGGGATCGAACTCAGGTCCTTGCACTTGTGCAGCAGGCAGTGAAACCACTGAGCTAAATCCCTGGCCCTGTATCTTGAAATCTAATACTATAACACCAACTCCATTAGAGCAATATGGATTTATTCCTAATAGTCATATCCACAATTTGAAAGCAGGGTTGTTTCCTTGTTTTTGATTTTAACTTAAATAGGGAAAGATTCTCATCAGCTAAATGAGAATATATTTCCTCACCCCGTAAAGTGACAGTTTGAGAAGTTTTACATATTTGCATGTCTTTTTAAGTTTATTACCCAAAGATCTCCCCCTAACCAGCATACACCTACAGTCCCATTCACTGAGGACTACTTCAACCCAGGAGGTTTTTCCTCCAATAAATCCCAAAAATCAAAAAAATCCTGCTTAATTTGCTTACTGTCAAAGTACTTGCTTTTATTTTTTTGTAATTTTTTTGGTACCAGGGATCAAACTTGGGTCCTTGCGCTTGCGAGGCAGGTGGCAGAACCACTGAGCTAAATCCCCGGACCAACTTGCTTTTATTTTTTTTAAATTATTTATTTATTTTGGAGAAAGGGTCTTGCTATATAGGTCAGGCTGGCCTTGAACTCCTGGTGATCCTCCTGCCTCAGCCTATTGAGTGCTGGGATTACAGGTATGTGCCACCCTGCCCAACTAGTACTTGGTTGTTGTTTTGTGTTTTTTTTGGTACCAGGGATCAAACTCGGGTCCTTGCTCTTGCACAACAGGCAGCGAAACCACTGACCTAAATCCCCAGCCCTAGTACTTGCTTTTAAAGTCAAGATATGCTACTTCATTTGCTACGCTACTGCTTTTATCTTTTATATTTTTTCTCTACTTTTATTATTATTTTTGTGGTACTGGGGGTTGAAGCCTGGGTCTTCACACTGAATCCCCGGCCCTCCTTTCTTTTAAAAATAATAAGAGATGGGGTCAGGGATTTAACTCAGTGGCGCTGCTGCCTGCCTCACAAGCGCAAGGTCCCGAGTTTGATCCCTGGTACCAGAAAAAAAAAAAAAAGAAAGGTAATGTTCTTGAAAAAATGAACTGCTTGTAACTCACTGTCGATACTTTCTATGCCTAGAAGGATGCCAGTAAATAGGAATTATTTTTGTTGTTGATTACACAAGAAAGTTCTAAATGGTGTAATCTCATATTACTCTTTTATTACTAAAAAGCCTCATGTATTTTGTTTCTTTAAGCAGTTAACCTTTCAATGACTAGTGATGCATTTATGGAATGCCCATAATAATGGAACATAATGAAATGTGTTCTCTTCAAATTCTTGTTCCTTGAAGTTTTCTAGGTAATATAAATTTCACACAAAATTTCAATCTTCAGCATAAATGGGTTAAATGTTTATAAAAGTTTTATTTTAGCATGGTGTTCTGATTATGACTAAAGAGCCTCAGTCTTTTTACTTTCAAATTTCAGCTCATTAGCTCCTTGCTTATTACTTCTGAAAATGAAGAAAAACAGAACATCTGATTTTGGAGTGCTAAATAAAAAGAGCCTAGCTATTTTCCTTAGAAGAAATGCATGATTCTAATTTTGGATGTGCTACACAAGAAAGGGACATATCACACCCTTGAGACTTTGGTAACAAAGAAGTCTTTACAATTAAAATGATACAGGGGCCGGGGATTTAGCTCAGTGGTTCCAGCGCCTGCCTCTCAAGCGCAAGGTCCCGAGTTCGATCCCCCGGTACCAAAAAAAAAAAAGATACAAGGTCCTTGGGAGAGGCAAAGAATTTCCACCTAAAAAAGCAGTAAGATGAATGTCCTAAAGTGGAAATCTATAGTCCTCTATATAACTGCAGTTTGAGTAAAGAATTTAAAACAGGAACTGCCTGCTAAATAACAATAAATGAACAGAAAATAAGATGAGGTCAAGCCTTTGAGAAGTCAAACATGGCTATGTGTATTACAAATGCATGATATTTGTCCAAAGTTATCAAAAGAGGGTGAAACAATTAAATGCAATGAGAACCTGGATTCCATTTGCATGTGGGTGTTGTGTGTGCATGCCCACTGGGGCAGGAGGGAGGGAGAGCAGCTATGGAGATGTTCTTAAACTAACTGTGGGATGTGAACACACCCTGTGGCAGATGCTGCACCCCATGCCCTCCACCAGTCCATGGACCCATCTTCGCCCCACCTGCACACCCTGCTGGCTGCTCACCCTTCTCAGCATCAGCTTGGGCCCACAGCGTGCTCACAAGTGGGAACTGCACCACACACCCTGGAGGCCTGAGCCTAGCTCTCTACAGTTAGCCACTGGCACAGGCTATGGGCCACGGCAAGTGCCCAGGGAGTTGGGGAATAGTAAGGGGTAGAGAGTTATGAGATACGAAACTTTAACTGGTGCAGTTAAAAGATGCAGAAACACACCAAATAAAGCAAGTATGGCAAAATGCAATGAATATCAGACTGAGGTAGAGATCTTAAGTGTTCCCCTATCTGAAAGTTTAAATTTGTGTATGTACATGGGTTCTTTTTTAAAGTAAAATTTAACTGACACATAAAAACATAAAAATTGTACATATTTATGAGATACTGTGTGATATCTTGATACATGTATACATCGCATAATGTTTAAAAGAGGTTAAACGCACCTTATCCCCTTAAATATTTATCATTTCTGTCTTTTGTGAAGTGCTAGGGATGGAACCAGAGCCTCAGGTGTGCTAGGCAAGAGCTCTATCCAGACTACATTCCAGGCCTGCCACTTCTCCATTATCCAGGGTATTATCTATCATCACCTTGCTGTGCAACGGCACAGCAGATCTTTAAGATTAAAAAACATTTATAATAAAATTCGAAAAACAACAAAAAAATGGAGAGGTGTATCAACTCAAGCCTGCTCTTTCTCTTGTGGCTGGTATCTGATACTAAGATCCAGGTCTGACCAGTAGCATTCAAAAAGACACTGGCAGTCCTCCAGAACATCTGTTCTCTCACCTCCCACTAGAGTCACTTGACTATGTCAATCCCACCTCTAAAATAACCTTCCTGTCATTGCTTCAATTAACTTGTTAACTTTTCCAGCTTGGATTAATACAATAGCCTTTTTTCCCCTTATAGTGCTGGGGACTAAACTGAAAGATGTTCTACCACTGAGCTACATCCTTAGTCCTTCTAATTTTTTTAAATTTTGAGACATGGTCTTGCTATTTTGCCCAGGCAGGACTCAAACTTGTGATCTTCCTGGCCCAGCTTCCCTAATGCACTGCTATGCCTGGCTAACATCAGCCCCTTATTTGGGCACCTTTCTCCCTCTCTCTCCCTCTCTCTCCCTCTCTCTTCCTCTCTCTCCCTCTCTCTCCCT